CTAGACCCCTTTCCCGAGGCACGTAGGCTGCGAGGCTCAGGCATATCAATAACTAGCATGTGCATAAGTGCCTCTTGCGAACTGATCACGGTAAAGCTCTGGCGTACTTACGGCTCCTGCAAGATGGTCACCGTACAGGTCTGAAGCATGTGTATCGAAGACGCCTACGGCGAATCACCGCCGCCCCCTGCCTTTTGGAATCGCCCATGTGGCCGAGGATTGTGGCAAGAGCACTGCCAAGCTAGCGGACCATGTGTTCCCCCAGCGGTTGTAGAAACCCTTCGTGGAACACTTGGGGGAGACGGCGGGGAAGATCTGGAGGAGGAGGAGGAGGGGACATCTTGGGAGCCTTTGGGGGCACTCTGAAGGCCTCCTGGGAGCTTCCATGGAGCCTCTTGGAAGCATCTTGGGGCCTCCTTGGGACTCTTAGGAGCCTCTGGGAGCTTCTGGGGGGCCTCTTTGGCAGTCTCAGGGCACTCCTGGCCCGTCTGACGCCGTCGGAAGCCGTTTTGGAAGCCTCTTTGGGCCGACTTGGGGCCCTCTTGGGGTGCTCCAGGGCCGTCTTGGAAGCCATCTTGAGCTCATTCGAGCTCAGAAGACTCCCAAGAAGCCCCAGAGACGCCAAGAAACACCATGGCTCACGAGCGGCGAGCGGTGACGTAAACAAACTGTGAACACCTAGACTCCCCAGAGCGCGCTGACGTAACAAGCTCTTAACAGCAAGGCACCCAAGAGCGAGCGGCAACGTAAGAGTCTGTGAACACCAGGGCTCCCAACAGAGAGCGGTGACGCAACAAGCTCTTAACGCCAAGGCTCCCAAGAGCGAAACGTGCCATGAGCCAGCTCGGACAAGTTCATGCAACGCTCTTTCAGTCCCCGTGCCGGTCCAGGTAACAGAAAGAGCGAGGTACGAGTGATGACGCTCTTGGGGGCGAAGCCCTCTGGGGAATGGTCCAGGGGAGGAGCGAGGCGCGGAATTATTCGTCTAATGGCCAGCTTCACTTGTATTTGTTCGAGTGAAGCGGCTCCAGGGCGCCTCCAATGGCCCGTTTCCTCGTATTGGTTCGAATGAAACGGCTCCAGGGCCCCAAGACGGCCCAAGAGGGCTCCAAAATGGCCCAAGAGGGCACCAAGACGGCCCCAAGAGAGCCCCAAGAGGGCCGAAAGAGGCTCCCAAGAGGCCCCCAGAAAGCGCAGGACCGCCTAAGCGCGTTTCAAGATGTCTTCAGATGGCCTCAAGACGACCCAGGAGGGCCCCAAGCAGGTCCAAGAGGCCCCCAAGAGGACCCCCAAGAGGGACTGAGCAGGCCAAAAACATTGATTGTCCTTTGCTTGTTGTTTAAGGTTTTTCGGGTTCTCGCCTTTTCGGGCCAAGAAGACGGCCCAAGAGGGCCCCAACACGGGCCAAGAGGGCCCCAAAACAGCCCAAGAGGGCCCCAAGACGACCCCAAAAGAGCCCCAAGAGGGCCCCAAGAGGCCCCCAAGAGGGCCCCAAGAGGCCCCCAAGAGAGCCCCAAGGGCCAAAGGCCCAAAGGCCTCCAAGAGACCCCGAGACGACCCAAAAAGGCCCAAAGACTGCCCAAGAGGGCCTCCAAACGGCCCCAAACGGCTCCCAAAAGACCCCCAAGAAGCCCCGGAGACGCCAAGTAACACCATGGCTCCCAACAACGAACGGCGGGGGGTGACGTAACAAGCTCTTAACACCACAGCTCCCCAGAGCGCGGTGACGCAAAAAGCGCTTGACACCAAGGTTTCCAAGAGCGAGCGGCACCGTAGTAAAAGTCTCTGAACACCAGGGCTCCCAACAGAGAGCGGTGACGTAACAAGCTCGTCACCCCAAGGCTCCCCAGAGCGAAGGGCGCCATGAGCAATCTCGGGCAAGTTCCTGAAGCGCTCTTTCCGTCCCCGCGCTGGCCCAGGTGACGAAAAGCGCGCGTAGCGTAGCGATCCGTTAGCCGGGAGAAATAACAAGAGTGGGTATGGGGGGGTAGGCGGCCCGGGCCTCAGATGACGGAAAGCGTGCGTAGCGTCGCGATCCGCTCGTCGGGAGAAACAACAAGGGAAGTATGGGGGGGGTAGGCAGCCCGGGCCTGAGATGACGGAAAAACGCGCGTAGCGTCGCGATCCGTTCGGCGGGAGAAACAACAAGGGAAGTGTGGGGGGGGGGTAGGCAGCCCGGGCCCGAGATGACGGAAAAACGCGCGTAGCGTTACGATCCGTTCGTCGGAAGAAATAACAAGGAAGGGGGAGGCAGCCCGGGCCTCGGATCTAATATGATACCCCTAGGGCTCCCAACTTCGCGCTTCGCGCTGCGCGAAGCGCGAAGCGCGAATAACTTCGCGCTCTCGCGCCGCCCTCCCAAAGGGAGAATAGGAGGACGAGGAGGAGGGGGAGAAGGAACGAGGACCGCGAAGCGCGAAGCGCGAATAACTTCGCGCCCTCGAGGGAGCCCTTGATACCCCCAAGTTTCGGCCATTTTCGGCCCAAGACGACCCAAGTCAGTCCCAAGAAGAGCGCCTAAGAAGCCCCCAACTCGGCCCAAGAGGTCCCAGAATACATCCAAAACGGCGTCGGGGAGGTCCACGAGGGCCCGAAGACGGCCCAAGAGCGCTCCAAGAGGGCCCAATATGTTTCAAGACAGCCCAAAAGGCCCCGAGACGCCCCAAGAGGCCCCCAAAGGGAACCCCCACAAGGAAAAAATCATCCCATTCCCCCAGGAAAACGTAAATGTTTAGCATAGTCGCTTCTTTGGTCTTCACAGTGTCCAAATCGATCCCAGAGGCCCCCAAGACCGCCCCAAGACGGCCCCAGAGGCCCCCGAGAAGGCCCAAGTGGGCGTCAAGACGGCCCAAGAGAGCCCGAAGACTGCCAAAGAGAGGCCCCTGAGGGCCCCCAGAAGGTTCCCAAAAGAGCCCCAAGAGGGCCGCAGGGGGTCCCCCAGGGGGACCCAGGAGGGCCCCCAGAGGGCCCCAAGACGGCCCAAGCCCGCCAAGACGGCCCATGAGGGCCCCACGACGGCCCCCAAAAGGGCCCCTAGACGGCCCAAAAGAGCCCCAGAAGGACCCCCAGGAAGGCATGGGAATGCAATATTCATTGATTTTCGCAGAGGGGTGGTTTCCAGATTTTTGCATGTCGTACCGAAGCCTAACACCGACCTCGCGCCCTTACAAAATAAACGCGTTTTCCGTCCCCATGCCAAGCAGGTTCAATACCACAAGTTTCGGCAATGTTCGGCCTTAGACGGCCCAAGTCAGCCCCAAGAGCGCCTAAGAGGCCCCAAGACGGCCCAAGAGAGCCCCAAAAGCGCCCAAGATACCTCCAACACGGCGTCGGAGAGGTCCAACAGGGCCCGAAGACGGCCCAATATGGCTTCAAGAAAGCCCACGAGGCCCACAAGACGCCCTCAGAGGCCCCCAAAGGGAACCCCCAAGAGGCAAAAATCAGCCCACTCCCTAAGGAAAACGTGCATTTTTAGCATATCCGCTTCTTTGGTGTTCACAGCGTCCACAACGGCCCAGGCCCCCAAAACGGCCCCGAGACGGCCCCAGAGGCCCCCAAGACGGCCCCAGTGGGCGTCAAGACGACCAAAGAGAGCCCCTGAGGGTCCCAGACGATTCCCAAGAGAGCCACAAGAGGGCCACAGGAGGTCCCCATGGGAACCCAGGAGGGCCCCCAGAGGGCCCCAAGACGGCCCAAGCCCGCCAAGACGGCCCAAGAGGGCCCCACGACGGCCCCAAAAAGGGCCCCCAAACCGCCCAAAAGAGCCACTGAAGGACCCCCAGGAAGGCCCAGAAATTATAGATTCATTGATTTTCGCCAGGTTGGTTGCTAAATTTTTGTATGTCGTATCGAAGCCTGAACACCAACAGGGCTCCGAGACACAAGCCAGCGACTTCGCGCCCTCACGAGATAAACGCGCTTTCCGTCCACATGCCCAGCAAGTAACCGAAAGAACGAGGTACGAGTGATGACGTTCCTGTGTGGGGCGAAGCCATAAGTTATAAGGAGAAGTCCAGGGGAGGGGCGAGCACCGGGAGTACCGGATGCAATGACCGCCCAAGGGCCGCTTCCGTCGTATAGTTCGAGCGAAACAGCTCCCAAGCGGCTCACATGGCCTGCTCCTGTGTATTCTTGACACATGAAACAGCCAAAAAACCCCAAGACGGCCCAAGAGGGTCACAAAACGTCCCCAGAACGGCCCAAAGACTGCCCCTAGAGAGTCTCAGATGAGTTCGAAAGGGGTTGGGAGGCCCAACCAGCAGCTTCGCTTCAGGCGAAGCCCAGCTCCCGCTCTGTTGTACAGCAGTAACGAACCTTCCATGACCTGTAGGAGCATGTCTCTGTCGATGCTCCCTTTGGTGTGACCATCCGCGGTCATATCGCGGGTGTCACACCACTGAATACTGTGCACGATTCCTCGCTCCATCATCTGTCGTATCCAGCTGATGTGTCCAAAAAGTGTACACTCAGTCGGCTTCCTCAAGTCTTTGTTTGACAAGGACTAAGAAACAGACTATGGTCAAAGTGACCTTGACGCTCAGGCCACCCAACTCAAGTATGTCTCTCAACTGAGTGGGAGTTAACGGCCCGGCGTGGAGCTCGTGCAGAGCCACGATCGTGGGATAACAGTCCTCCAAGTTGCGGGCTGCTGCTGGCGTCTCTGCTGAATAGCTCGAGCGGACCTGCAAGCGGTGAGACTTGCAGCACGCATCGATCAAGCGTACGACGGGCTTACCGGACGGCGTGCTTCCATTCCCTAGCAGGTTTGCCCCGCGAATACCATAGCCTTTGACTTCGTCGTCGGCATCTCCACTCAGGCGTCGGTAACCTGAGTCGCTGTGCAGGTAAACCTCGCCCGTGGGGGTCATCGCTTGGTAGACGATATTCTTAGGGCAGGCCTGCAGCTTCCTGGTAATCGCGCTCAGTCGTCGCACGTGTATGTCGGTCGGTTCTTGGCCACGTTGTGGAGAGACAACATACGCCATCAACCACACTAGGGT